TTCTTTAAATCACCCAGCGAACCAAATATTGTGAATGGAAATGTCTAGAAATTAAAATCCTATGTGACTAAAGGGTCAGATTTCAAATCCTCTAATTTTTTTTAGCAAACAAACAACCCTTTTAGAGTACTCATAACTACACTATAAAGTTTACAACTACTTTTATAACGCATGTGAACGGGAAGTTTCGACCACTAAGGGGCTGTTTGGATTAGTTTTTTTTGTGGTAAAAGAGGGGAAAGCTGCCAAAAATGTCAGTATTTTGGCAGCTTTCTACCAAAATCTGCTTTTTAAGAGCTGATTTTGGGAGAAAGCTGCCAAAAAGCTGATATTTTTGACAGCTTTCCCCTCTTCTACCACCTAAAAAACATGAACCAAACAGCCCCTAACGGGGGAGTGAAATTCCTAAATTGTTTCCATAATGTGCCGGTGAAAGGCACCAATTGAATTCTCGTACACGGATGTTGCGGGTCATTGATGATTTTTCAATTTTGATGATAATTCTAACGAAAGGACTCCACACATCGTGTGTAGAAGTACAGAAGCAATTTGAAGACAATAGTTTAATTAGAGTTACTCTTCTTGTTATTAGCAAATTAGCTCCAATGTCTAAAGCACAAATTACCATGCAGTTTCTATTGACTAGAAGCGCTAATAATAATTAGATTTAGCCCCTTGCACGTGGGACAACCCCCAAAAAAATTATGTTTTATTAGTAATAATCGGAACAACAATATTCTCAAAAATAATCGGAACAACAAGTACAATTGCGGTATTATACAATTTTAACCCCTTTAATTTGATGCAACAATCTTCAATTTGAAAATAATTTAACTCTCTATTAATTTTAGAATATTTTACTATTACAAACTCGCCTTGTCAAGGATGTAAATTTTAATTTTAGTATTTCAACCACTCTTCAATTATGTTTATGGTTTGATTTCTAGGAAGGTATCCGTATCTCTTCATAAAATTTACCCTTTTATTCGAAAAGAATAAATTATTAACAAACTCATATATTTGAAAAGAATAAAGTAGCAACAAACTTAATTATGTATTACATGAACTAAGTTTCTTTTATTGCATAAAATAAAAAGAAAGAGCCAATCCCGTATCGTATGTGCAAGCAATAAAGGGAGCCTCTTTTTGTCATTGAATGTGTAGAAATTGTACAGAATTCCATCCGTGTAGAGGCAGTACCTTTGAAATATTATTATTCTTGTTGCTTCAATTGTTCGCAATTTATTGTCATGAATACATCTGTGCGGACAGTGGGTCTACACAAGTAGTATTCCTGTATATAAACAGAGGAAGGTCTTAAAAGTAAGTAGATCAAAAGTTTATTTTCTTCATAAAACTACTGGGAAAATAAGGGGATTTCTCAATCAATTTTATCTATTGGAAAAGGGCATGTTTTTTTTTCCAAATACATCATCTTCGGGAAAATGTTAGAATGAGAAAGACATCTTTAAACTTGAATTAATACAGAAACCTTTTAAGGAGGCTCCATAACTATCAACAATCTTGACACATTTATTGCTGAATTTACAATTGAAATCCTCAAAAAAACCTGAAAAATATATGTATGTACTAAGTTTGTTTAAGAATATATGTGATATGCTAGACATGTGTATTTTTCAAGGATTTTTGGAGATTTCAATTAAAATTTCATTAGAAAATAAGTCAATGTAGATGGTTACTATTGAAACCCCTTTAAAAGTGGTTACTGTTGCGCGCAGCGGAAATTTCGGCAGCACTTCGGCAGCACAACAAGAGAGTCAGGTCGCAATAAGAATTCTTGTTTCTCAAAGGGAACAAGAATCTGAAGCCTATATCCTATCAAAGTAGGATATTAGCTCTTCCTCTCGTCAGCTCTAGGACTGCGCGTCGAGGGAACCTAAAAAGCTATTACAAATCACACAAATAACGAGACAACCAATTTTTACGTGGTTCGGCAAATTGCCTACGTCCACGGGGCAAGGAGGAGGGAGATCCACTAATAGAGGGAGAGAATACAACTAGGGTTTACAACCACTCACAATCTAAACCCTCAAACAAACTCTCTCAAATCCCTCACAAACTCTCTACAAAAGGCTGCACAAAAGGACTGCACCAAAACAAATCTCCTGCTGACCTATATATAGGCTTGCAATTATTCTTCGGGTGGGCCTGGTACCTGGTACCGAAATTTGTGGGCATCCATGCTCACTTCCGTATTCACGTGGCCCCCACCTGCACAATTCTCCACCTCGGTGAAGTTTTCCCAAAACTGAGCCGACACCAAAGCATCCAAATGTCTCACTTGTTATGTCCAGTACGAACTCAATCCACAACAAAGTCGAGAACCCGAACGAGAGTCCAAACAATCTCACCCCCACCAACAAATTCAAACCGGCTGCATCATAAAGACTGCCTACGTATCCTCTTGCCCAAGGAATCAAGCCTCCCGTAGTTCATCCAAATGGCCGCCAACGACCTCAACAATCACAAATGTGCAACAAGTTTCGACAATGATCAAACTTGTTGCTCGGAACCACCTTAGTGAGCATATCCGCCGGATTATCCTTCGTGTGGACTTTCATAATTTTCACATCGCCATCTTCAAGAACATCCCGAACGAAGTGATAACGAACATCAATGTGCTTCGTCCGCGCATGAAAAACCTGATTCTTCGCCAAATAGATAGCACTCATGCTATCACAATGAATAGTGACGGACCTCTGCGATATACCAAGTTCCTCCAAAAGTCCTCGAAGCCAAATAGCCTCCTTCACAGCCTCCGTAACTGCCATATACTCTGCCTCCGTCGTAGACAAAGCCACCGTAGACTGTAAGGTGCATCTCCAACACACAGGCGCACGGATCAAAGTAAACACATATCCCGTAGTAGACCGACGCTTATCCAAATCCCCGACATAATCCGAATCAACATAGCCAATGCATAGCTGCCCACCTGTAGTGTCCCGCTCATAAACCAAACCAACATTGAGCGTACCTCGAATGTACCTCAAAATCCATTTCACGGCGTCCCAATGACCCACTCCTGGATCGTGCATGTATCTCGATACCATGCTTACCGCCTGTGACAAATCTGGCCTCGTACATACCATCGCGTACATCAAGCTCCCAACCGCACTCGCATATGGAGTCTTCGACATCAACTCTCTATCTTCAACTGACTTCGGTGAAAGACCAGCTGAAAGCTTCAAATGGGCTCCCAATGGTACACTAACTGGCTTCGTATCCATGCTAACATGGAATCGCTGTAGAACCTTCTTCAAATAAGCCACCCGTGTCAAACAAATTCTGCCCTTCTTCTTGTCTCTGCCGATCTCCATCCCTAGAATGCGCTTCGCCTCACCCAAGTCCTTCATCTCAAACTCATTTGAAAGCTGAACTTTCAACTCATCTATAGCCGACCTGAAAATAGAGGCAACCAACATGTCATCGACATAGAGCAACAAATAAATATACGCACCTCCTTTCAACTTGCGAAAATATACGCAAGGATCAAACTGGCTCCGAGTGTACGAATGACCAAGCATAAAACCATCAAATCGCCTATACCACTGTCGAGGAGACTGCTTCAAACCGTATAGCGATTTCTTCAGTTTGCAAACCAACTTATCTTTCCCTGCAGCTCGGAATCCCAATGGCTGAGTCATATATATTTCTTCATCAAGATCACCATGAAGAAATGCCGTCTTCACATCCAACTGATCTAACTCTAAACCATACTGTGCCACCAAAGCTAGCAAAATCCGAATCGAAGAATGCTTCACCACCGGAGAGAAAACCTCATTATAATCTATTCCTTCCTCCTGTGCATAGCCCTTCGCAACCAACCTAGCTTTGAACCTCAATGGAGTGCCCTCAATGCCCTCCTTCTTCGTGTATACCCACTTGCAACCAATTGCCTTCCGCC